TATATATATATATAGCATAGGCTGTATATATCCCTTGCACCTTTTCTTCCTTTGGCACATTCTTCTTCTCCTTTAACTATTTGAGCTGATGTAACGAGTAAAGTTCTCCACTACGAGATCAATAAAGTCAATCAATCAATCAATCAATCAATCAATCAATCAATCAATCAATCAATCAATCAATCAATCGTTGTATTTCAGGAGTTAAGACATTTCAAATCAATTTCCATTTTATTAAAAAAGAACTATTTAATAAACTGTTTGTCATCAAAGGGCTAAACTAAAAATAATAAGATTGACAAAAAACACACAATAAAACAATAGGGGATAACATCAAAACAAATCACAGAGGAATATGACAGTAGCAACAACTCACAGTAGAAGCAAAGCCTAAGCAGATGTCTTTTAAAAGAGACTTAAAGAGAGGACCAAATTTCTCATTTTTTAGGATATTTTATTTCTCATACTTTTATCTTTTTTTTTTTGCTTTTGTGTGTTGAACACTGAGATTGGTTTCCTATGTAAAATGCACTATAAATGAAATTTGCACCATCATTCATGCTTTTTTAAGTAATTGTTATAATTATTACCTCTAACCATCTAGCTAAGAACCTCAGCTTTCTTTTACAACCGTTCTCCAACTATCACACGATAGACTCATTTTAATGGGGGGTTTGCACGTCTTAACATTTACGCAGAGATCTTTGTAAATCATCCCCCACAAATTATTGGATGCACAAAACAATTATTAAACATGCAGTTAAATAATTCAATAGATTCCTTTATTTGGAATCTTTAAAAATCAGGCTCTTAATGTTTGTTAATATTATCATTATTGCCTACAATGCAAAAAATTTCCATCTAAATGAGCCATTTTTTCTTGAATTTAGGATCGTTAACATATTTTGCCAATAGAACAAGACAATTCACATTTAAAATAAGAAAAACAATTGCATTGTTTTATTTCAAGCACATCATATCTAATTATCTTATATTAAGACTAAAAATGCTAATTCCATTTACAAATCATCTTATTTACCTTCTCAATTTAAGGGGGAATAGACTTATTTTAAGAAATTTTCAAGATGGTTTTTGCAGCGTAATATTAAGAAAAAAAACAGTTTTTTTTTTATGAAAGCCTAAAGCTATCATAGATCATTATGCAAAAATTTACTTTAGAAAAAATATATATACTCATTGAAACATGATTGTGTTTATCCTTGGCTTCTTTTTTTATTTAATATCCCATCTGCTGTGAAATCTTTAGGTTTTTCTTGGTAGAATGTGAAACAAAACATATTCAAATTTTTTATTTATTTATTTATTTATTT